ACAAGATGAGCACAGTGGGGTGGGAGCAGGGGAGGGGCTGGGGGTAAACTGCAAGCACAGCAGGGCTGGGGAGGGGGTAAACAGGATCCCCCTACCCCGGCCCACATAGAGCAGGTACCTACTTTCTCCCTGGTTCTAGCCCATTCTTTTAGTTTCTCTTTGCACTGAGCTGCCCCTCCTCCAGTGTGACAAAGTGGGAATGTTCTTAATGTTTTCTCTGAATACTGTGTGGGTGCCTCAGTTTCCCCTATGCATTTCTTAAGTATCTAGGTGGTGGGATAAGGGTGTGTGATTGTGTCTGCAAAGAGAATGGCTGACACCCTGTCTTCTGATGCCTGGGCCCCTCCTCTGCAAGGTTCCAGCTGAAGGTGTTGGAGAACAAGGAGATCAGGTGGACTCCTGGCCGAGGAAAGACACAAAGACCAGAGGAGGGGCTGGAGGGGGTTGCAGTTTGGAGCTGGCTGCGGAAATGGAGGGAGGCCCAGCACCGGGGGCTGGGCTCCCCACCCCAAAGATGGAGCTGACTGTGGGGTCCTGTTTGCTGTACCTACAAGCTCTGTTTTAGACTGTGTTCCTGTCATCTAATAAACCTTCTGTTTTACTGGCTGGCTGAGAGTCACGGTGAATTGCAGGAAGTGGGGAGTGCAGGCCCCTGACTCCCCCACACTCTGTGACATCCAGCAGCAGCAGAACAGGTTCTCTTCCAGCCCTCTGGGGTGGGTGTTGGGAGTGGGAGGAGCGGAGGCTAATGTAGTTACTTCTAAAACTTTTAGTTTCCAGTCGGCACTGCTAACCGGACACTCAGGTCCCGTTTTTTACTGGAGTTTCCAGTCTAAAACTGGATACCTGGCAACAGGGGTGCCAGAAAAGCCTGAGGGTGGGGGGAAGAGGCAAGCAATCATTTTTAAAAGTGAGAGGGCTAAGCCTTAAGGGGGCAAGTGGTGGGTGGGCTAGGGAGTGGAGAGGAGCTAGTGGGCAGGGCCATGTCTGCTGTACTGCCCAGGTAGGTTGGAGACTGTAGGGATCAGCTGACACAGTATCCCCAAACCAGGTGATGTGACAGCCAGTGGTGGATTTAGAGTTAGTGGAGCGCCCCCCCCCCCCAGCCCTATGCTCAGCTTCATTTTTGGAGCCCCTCCTTGGGACCCAGCCAAGAAAATGAACATTCTCTCTCAGCTCCCCTCTGCTCCTGTTTTTCATTCTTTTTTTCTTCATCCTCCTCCTATAAGTAATAGCAAGTAAATGAAAATAAAGTGAGGTACCTTGATTGGTTTTTTTTTAGTCTACCTTATTTTTCCACAGACCACTTGAAAATCGCTGAGGGTCTCAGCGGCCACTTAATGATCTTTCCAAATATTGTTTGTACTGTTAGCTAACTATTGTAAAATGCTTTGGATAAGAGTGCTTTATAAAAAAAATGTAAAAAAAAAATGGGGTCTGGCCAGGACTTAAGGTGAAGAAGAGGGCTCAGGGCTGGGCGTGCAGGGTCTGGGAGGGAGATAGGATGCAGGAGCAAGCTGGGGATTGGGGTGCAGGGTCTGTCCAGGAGCTAGGGTAAGGGACGGGGCTCAGGGTTGGGGCAGGAGGTTGGGGTATGGAGCGCTTATCTGCAGCAGCTCCCATTTGGTGCGAGGGGTGCAGGAGCTCCCGTTTGGTGCTCAGGGTTGGGATGTGGGGGGGGGGGGGAGACTCAGGGCATGGGGGGGGGGGGGGGGGCGGGGGGTGGGGGGGCAGGAGACAGGGCTGGGTGGGCGTGAGGGGGTGCAGGAGTCAGGGCAGAGGGCAGGGAGCTGGAGAGTGTGGGCTGGGGTCGTGGGAGTCCTCCCAGCCCCCTGCCCTGAGCGGCTCACGGCAGGGGGCTGGAGGGGGTATTCATTGATTCCACCCCCTTTCCCAAGGTCCCGCCCCCGCCTCTTTACTGCCTCCTCCCCCAATCGGTGAGTGCGGGGGCGGAGAAGAACTGCTGGGCTGGGGCCACTTTGGAGCCTAGGCCCAGCGCCATGGCGCCAGTGGCACCATGGTAAACCCAGTACTGAGTAAAACAGAAGGTTGATTAGACGACAGGAACACAGTCTAAAACAGAGCTTGTAGGTACAGAAAACAGGACGCCTCAGTCAGGTCCCTCTTGGGGGGTGGGGAGCCCAGACCGAGGTTCTGGGCCTCCCCCCATCTCCCCAGCCAGCTCCAAAATGAAACCCCTTCCTGCTGCCTCCCACAGCCACACCCCCGGCCCCTCCTCCAGCCTTTGTCCAATTTCCTTGGTGGAAGGTGTCACCTGGCACCAACCCCCTCCTGGGCTCAGGTTACGAAGGGCAGCCGCCATCGTTTACGCACATCAAGTATCATCCCTCAGTGAAGTCACACCCTTATTTCTTATCACCATCTAGTATTGGTGCAGTACCCCAGGGAAACGGAGGCACGCCCCGTGTTAGCAGAAGACAGTAAACTAGTGAAACTCCCATGCAACATTACCAGGTTAATACTCCCTACTCCGTCACAGGAGGTGAGGCATTTCTCTAGCTTGAGGGGGCTGTGCCATGGTTGCAGGGGGAGGCGAGGTGTTTCTCTAGCCAGGGCGGCCATGCGTGACGAAGTGGGGTTTTATTCATCTTGTTATGTTGCATGTGAGTCTTACTATCATATACTAATACTATGTGTGCCTTAGTTTCCCAGCGTACTGCACAAATACTTAGGTGGTGGGAGTTGGGTGTGTGATTTTTGCTGAGGCCCTCAGAGCAGGTGAGGCTGTCCAGCTGTTTGCACCTATGTAACCTGAGACCCAAGAGGGAGATGCGACTAGGAGACATCTTTTGCCCCGGAAGCGAGACAAAGAGAAGGGGGAGGAGCAATAGGAGGTGTCAGAGGTCAGGTCGCTGGAAGCTGGTAGTCTGCGTCGGGGGACTGGAAGAGGGGGAATCCAGTGCGTCTGGCCCAGGATTCCCAAGATGGACTTGGCTGAAAGTCACAGATTTCTCTAATAACAAGCTCTGTTCTACGCTGTGTTCCTGTCAACTAATAAACCTTCTGTTTTACCGGCAGACTGAGGGTATGTCTACACTACAAAATTAGGTTGAATCTTTTCCCATGACAACTTAATTTATGAAAAAGCCTTTCGTGAGGGAACTTGTCAAAAGCTTTTTGGAAATCTTGTTGACTTTTGCCCAACAATTTATCTTCTTGTATGTGTCTGACAATTTTATTCCTTATTATTGTTTCAACTAATTTGCCCGGTACTGACTTTAGACTTACCGGTCTGTAATTGCCAGGATCATCTCTAAAGCCCTTTTTAAATATTGGTGTGACATCATCTCTAGAGCCCTTTTTAAATATTGGTGTTACATTCTACAGTCATTGGGTTCAGAAGCTGATTTAAAGGACAGGTTACAAACCATAGTTAATAGTTCCGCTGTGTTAAGTAGGGGGGAGCCTGAAGATATATTGGTGAGCGGCTAACGGGACGGCTGACAGAGAGGAGCGGCTTGTGGTGAAGACTGCAGCAGAACCCCACGGAGAGGCGTGCCAATTGACCGTCAACACGAGCAGCGGAGCATGTAAGGTGCCCCAAACTGTTGCCGGCACAGAATGCAACAGCAGGGTTCGTTGCCCGGTGTGCTTCGCGCCAATGAACACACCAGGGTGG